TGTGTGTGTGTGTGTGTGTGTGTGTGTGTGTGTGTGTGTGTGTGTGTATGAGCGTGTATGTGCGCGTGATGGAGAGACGATTTTCACGAGAGCGACAGTGATAATATGAGATTTTCGCTTTCGTCCTTTAACAACAATAATAACAATTATAGTATAATATGTGTAATAAATATATATAATAGATGATTATTATTAAAAAAAAAAATATCTAATACCTATGAAATAGATAAAGTGCGTTTAGAAATATTTTTTATCATTCTTACGTATTAAAGTCTCAAAAAAAAGCGTCCAGATATACTGTAGATGTTATGTTGTATGGAGTTGACATAAAATTAGATACCTTCTATTATCCTATAAAGTATATTGATATTTTTTGTGTGCGTGAATTTTAATTCTCTAACCCTGTGTCGATATTAAGTCACCTAAGAGATATTTACGAAAGACAAAAAAACGACAACGAGAAGAAAATCGGCATTATATATGTTTAGCACCAATTATTATACGACATAAATAAATAAGTCTAAAAGAAAAAAAAGAAAAAAAATGATCATAAAAAGAAGAATATAATAATAAAATTATTATTTATCATGCATAATACTGCGTATGTTTTCAAATGCTGTTATCAGTGGTTCGTTTACAGCTTCTGCCTTTGGTCTCATCCAGCAATGACTTGATTCGAGTTCGGAGTCTAGGCCAGAGTCCCGTGGGTTCCATTTCCGTGGCATTACAGTTGGCCAGCGGGTCGAACAGGATTTGAGACCTGTGCGGCGGGACAAGCGGGTCTTTAAGCCGAGCCAAATCGGTCTGTACGCTTGCCATTTTGTCCTTGAGCAAGTTGTAGGTGTGTAGGTCCAGACCTGACTTTCTGGCTTTCTTATGCATGGTGATCAGATATTGGCGGTCACGAACATCAGGCATCAGGTACTCCTGCAAAACGGGCACGGTCGTAATTATTGTAGGAATAATAACATAAAAATAAACATTTTTAGGTGCAGAGAACATGCTATTATATGCTTAAATATTTGCGCCGACATATTCCACCAACAACCGATGGTTAACACACACACACATTGTGTTCACACATGTAATTATATTTCATTTGACTTGATTTACAAGAATAACTACGAGTATATTTTAATAATATTTTTAAATTAAATTATTTTTAATACGTAAATAATATGTTTAATATTACATTGTATTCTCATAGTATGTCAAACGTATTTCTTAAAAAATTCATTAATATTTAATTGAAACATAATATGCGTACTTATCTATCAAATTTTATACTACAATTATACTTATATAAGAAAATAATATTATACGTCAGCTAATATTGTGCTATAATATAACGAGTGGTCACTATATTACTATTGATAATTATACATAGGTATTTTTATCACACGGCACTCTGAATCCTCCTAAATACCCTTGTCCGTAAAAAGAGAAATATTTAACTATAGAAACTAGGGACCTATATACTACATTCGCTTTTTTATAAATTTATCGTTAGCCGTTTTGGTAACGATTGGAATGCACGATAATACCTATATTGAACTTTTAGGTCACTGCTGCAGCGTCGCATTGCCCATCGTTAAGATGAGATCCCTAAATACTATATACAGAGTGATTCTTCAAACATACTTACCCTTATTGTTAAACTTAATAATGGATTTATTCAAATTCTAATTTTTTGAATTCTTTTATATAAATGAGGACCATTATAATTCGAATAATTGAGATTTTTTTATTAAAAATATGCTACTAAAAGTGTGTTGTATGTTGTGAGAATGCAGACTTCTAATTTTAAAATGAGAGCTTTATTTTTTACGGTAAATTATTTAGTAAATAACTTTTAGACTTTTAATGAATCTAATTCAACATTCAAATGAGTAGATTTTGAGTTATTTAGAAAATTGGGAAGATATGACTATGGTAATTTAAAAAGATGCTATACCTAGTGTTACATATATTTTATAATTTTTTTAAATCATTAAAAAAAAACTATTATTCTTAATATAAATATTTAAATATTAAAAATCTACTAATTTTGAATTAGATACATCAAAAATGTAAAAAAAACTTATCAACTATAAATAAATAATAATTATATAGTAAAAAGGGTTTTTTTTATTTTAAAACAGAAATTTATATTTCAATAGAACATTGTTTAAGTGGTACAAAAATCTCAAGAATTTAAAAATATACCTAATTCTTTAAGTGTGAATAAAAATTCCTTAAAATCAAAATTTAAATACATTCATTATATAAACAAAAATGATGGTGATATGCTTGGTAAATCATCCTGTATATCCATTGCTCTATGAGCATATAATAATAATACATTATGTGAATATATACGTAGACTTTGTTTTGTGATATTATGCTGATATCTGCGATAAAGCTCATAACCAAGAGGTACCAAGTACCAGATAGTCAAACAAGCCTACTGATAAATTGTAAAGTTATTTACCATAAGAGAGCAAATTAAATAGTATGCCATGGGCGCCCATAGGGAATATTTTAGGGGGGTCAAAATAAAAAAATTTTCGAATGTAAGATAATAAAGATTTAATTTTATTTTCACATATAAATGTTATACTATACATCAATATGCATTTATATTTTATTTGTATATATAATATATATATATATATATATATATATATAGTGTATTAATATAATAATTGCCATACGAATAAATAAATAAATAAATAAATATATAATAATTGTCATATGAATAAATAAATAAATAAATAAATAATAATTTTAGTAAGTATATAAAAAAATATAAATTAAATAATATAATTAAATATATTATTTGGTATCAGTAAATAAGAACTGTAAATTTCTTCGTTTTATTCCAAACATATTAATGACATCCTGAATGAAAGTATCCTTGTTTGCGTTAGGTTAAAATATTTGTAGTACCTATATTGTGATCTTTATAGATTTACCACAAATTATCTGCGATAAATTATTTTACGTATAGGTTATACAGACTACAGAATACGACCTATCTATGATGTTAATATACGATAACAATGAGTATATTTTTATATTTATTTCATATCTTAAAAGTGATTTTAACAAATAATTCGCCTCGGTAATAAGGTAATATTGTGGTAATATTTTTTCCAGGGGGGGGGCAAGTGCCCTGTCTTGTCCCCCCCCCAATGGGCGCCCATGTAGTATGCTCTCGTTTATTTTTAAAAATTAAATTATGAAACTTTAGATTTACGCGAACAGAATGAGTTAACTCTAATGTTGTTTTGCAGAAATAAATCAAGCTCAACACCACAGGAGTTAAATACTGATCAAGCGGGACGAAGCGAATCTTTGCAACGCCTACGAGTTTTGTATTATAATATAGAATGTAAAAAGCATAATCGGAAATATAATACCCAAGTGCCTATTACAGTAGGTGCCCAACCTAACAAGTGCATCCGAGTTAGGTTACAAGTACAAGGGTCTAATCACAGGTCCTATACTATAGTTTGGTCCAGGATTATTTTAAAGAATTAAAAAGTATTTTATGTAAATATATGTTACAAACGAAAAATATATAAATGACAAAATGAATGAAACAATGAAGGAATAATTAACCGTTTTGATTTTGTAAAATTAGTTTTTTTAAATTTTTACTGGTATAAATGTGATTTTCGTGGAAAAAAACCGAGACCCAACCAATGTACCTATAGTACCTGAAAAAGTCTCAGACCCAATTAGTATAAACAATTTTGATTCTAGACACAATTAGTATAAACATTTTTAATTTTAGACTCAACTCGGATTTAGTCTTTTTGACACCTTCTGTTATTAACGTTAAATTTCATTTCTTCAACAACCCCGTAAATTATTTTTAAAATTACTACTTTATATAAAAGTGCGGGCGCGACGTTAGACATCCTAATCCACTGCGCGAGTGTGTATAATATCATTATATAATATATATATATATATACATGTGTTTAATGTATATAAATTATAAATATATAGGTATGGAAAAAATAATAAATAATGACTGTTATTGTTATTTCTTTTTTCATTTTTCATTCTTGCTGATTAAAATATACCACTGTGGCACTGCCAAAATAAATGTATTCACAATATTATTTATTACCTTGTTCAAATATTATAATAAAACTAATTAAGTTACAAATATAATATATACATAGCCACATTACGTGTAACTAAAGACGATTCACTAGCGATGAAATAATTATCAAAGGTCATATTAACTACACAAATACACAATACCTTGTACGAAAACATTTACATTTTAGCAAAGTAATTTTTATCTATGATACTTGAGGGTCCCTATTTGCTAATTGCAGTAGGAAAAAATAAATCGTTGGTACAAGAAGTAAACCTAATACAAAAATGTTTTCACGATGGCAGTTATTATATGAAAATATCAAGCATAAAAAAAAAATCAGTTATATATTATAAATAAAAATAAATAAGTTCTATATGCAATAAAAAGAATAACAATAAACCTACCTATATATTATACGATATTTCGCACGATGAAATAATTACACTTTTGCAATTTGTTATTTTAATATCAATAAAATAATAATTTATTTTAAAAACAATTATGAAATAAATCAACGTATTTAAATTTTACGAGTTTGACCTAAAAGTCTAAGCAACCCAAGTAATCTAAAATTTATTTGATAATTAAAAATTGATGCAGAATAGAATTATTAAATTAATTATAGATTTTTTTTAGGGGGGGGGGATAAAAAGTAAAAGATATTAAAATACCATAATTTTTAATTATAAAAATCTATAGACATTTTTTTTATAGAGAATATGATGACAATATTTAGCCATGATATTAAAGTTTGACAATGGTTAAAGTAAATAATGTTTATTCTCCCGAAATTATTATTATAATATAATGATGGAAATATGGATAGGGTTTTGTCTATTGTTTTATTTTGAAGCCATTAAACTACAAAAGAACAATTGTTGCGAAAAATGAAGCAGAATTTATACCTTGATGTTAATTGTTTTGAAAAAAGATAAAAAATACATTATGGTTTGAAAACATTAGGTAGTATTGGTTTGGGGAAAACATTTGAATTCGTGTAAAAAAAAAAAAATAATAACAAAGCGTATGTACTTTTACCTATTATTGTGATAAAAATATTTAAAATTTGTTTGTACATTTATCTAAAACTTTAATAAATCTAAAAGAGATTACAATGGAATATATGAATATAAAATTTTTACCTAAGATGTAATACATTTAATATAATAAATTTGATTAATGTTTAATGTATAACTAATTTTATTATATAAATATAATTTATAAGCTATATTAAATGATTTTTATTTTGTATTTGAAATATTTTTTAAACACTTCCATACCGAATAATGTTAATACAAAAAGAACAAATCGATAAATGGAGGCATCTAAAATTAAATAAAAGTAAAATAACCTTTAAACGTGGATATTATATGGATATGTACATTACAATACTGAAACATTTTGCTTGGGTGTTAGGAACTATTATACAATTTAATAATAATAACTGTTCATAAAACAGTAGTAGCTTTTCTCTAATAATAGTGCAGTATGACTACAATAAATTGCTTTGAAAAAGAAACCTTTTAAATGTATTTAAAAAATAATAACTATAAAAACAAATAAAACACATTTTATTTAATGGTTTTTTTTTCAAAAAACATAAACATCAATAAAACATGACTAAATTTAAATCCTCTCATTAGAATAGAATCTTTATTGTCTCTGAATTTCGGACAAACAAATAATTATCGTTTGTAATAATATATCCCACAATATCCTAATTATCAAAAAGTAACACGACTGAATACTCATCATTCCGTACTTTAATCTCGTAATTCCAAGTTTTTTTATTAACGATATATTCTTCCAAAATTCCTTGAATTATCCACTTCTCATCCAGTATAACTCAACAATTTCCTAATATAATAATATGTATAATATTATTCTGCGATATCATGCAATAACATAATTAAAATTAAATATTATTATTATTTATATTAGCTATAATATTTTTATAATGATGATAATCTAAACCGAATAATTACAAAAATAAACGTACATGAATAGTTATAGAAACGTTTAATGGCTTCATAACATAATAATTATAGTTGTTATGAATTATATGCTTAAATATAGTTATTGATTTACATAAGAAGAATCAATTATAATCGTATGAATATACCTGTTTTGTAAGTACATAGTAAGCATAAACGGCCATGGCGGTGCCGTAAGTGACGAAATATGTGACCGGCTCCATTATGTCCCATGAATATTCCCACCAAGTGAGTCGAGCCAATATGCCAAACTGCACTGACATAAGTCCCAGACCGACCCATGTAAGCACCGATGTTTGTCTGCTGGCTACCAAGTCGATGGATTGCCTTTTCTGAAACAAATATACATATATACATAGATACACCGTTAATGTTGAAATGCGACTTTAAAAAAAAAAAGATAAGTAAAACACTGCAGTAGACATTAGTGAATTGTTTAATACATTAATATTTATTATATATTATTTTACATGGTGAGCCACTGACAACCGTGCTTTCCTGTATCCATAATAACATTATGAAAAAATGAAAAAACATTGTAGTGTACTATATGTATACGCTTTAATATAAATATGTGTACCTACATACATCAACTAAAAATGTTTTCATTTTAGTAATGAAATATTAATCTGGAAACTAAGCACGAGAAATTTATTTCGTTCATTTTCAGCGTGATACATCATAATATATTATATAATAACAATAACCTGTTAAATACAATATAAAAATTAAAAACAAAACAAAATTTATGACGCGTGTTATTATTTTTAAAATGATTTTGACAACAATTAATGTTCCGTTCAAAAACGAAACTTTGTTGGTACCTTTATACGTATATATTCTTAAGAAACCATTTATTTCAAAAATTACATTACATTTTCTACTTAAGTAGATAAAAGTATTTTAAAAAGCAAGTTTGTGGTTTTACAATAGTAATAATAAGTAGGTTTAATATTATACGACTGTATTATTAATTATTATTATGGTTCATAATTTATTGTACACATAAACACATCACATGTTTTCTCTAAAAGTAAATAACAATAAATAAAAATGAAAGTTTTTATATTATTTACTTTTTAGGATTCCCAAAGGATTTTTTACGCTGAAAAGGATCATAACGAATGAAAAATGTCATTGTACTCTTATAAAACTTTTACAAATATTGAATTCAATGCAACTGTTTGGCTTTGATATACTTTATTTTACATATTGACTATATTGTTGTGTTAAATATAGTGTATAGTACATTAAAGGTTTTCCTAATACACACGAAGACGATTGAAATATTTTTACATTAAGTCTTTTTTGAATCAAACTCAAATGGTATATTTACAAACGAGATACATCATAAACTATTTGATATATATATATATATATATATATATACAAATAAGTTCCTAACCTACCTCTCCCTTATTGATTGAAAGTTATAAAAAAAGTTAGGTGTGAACAATTTTATCGAAGAAAAAATTATTTTTTACAATATATTACAGATATGATGGTTAAGCACAAGTATTTTTTATGCATAAATATGGAATTAAAACGTTATAGCAATTAGGTATACAATTTTTAGTAAATAAATATTGGAAAAAGTTAATTTAATGCATGAAAGTACTCTAATTAGATGATTTTTTACGATTGTTTGCATTTTTAATTGGTACTTTTACACAAAATTTAATTAGGAACATGCATTCGCACGTATTATTTGCTTATTTGTGATGCACATTTTTAACATGTTAAATTTTTCTATATTGGTGCTGTTCTGCACAACCTGTTTTGACTGTTTAAAATAGTTTAATTCAAATAAAGTAAAAATTAAAATAATATTACTTTACATCTGTTATGAGCACAGCTGTGTTAAAAATAGTGTACTTGAGAATTGAAACTCTAAGTATACGATATAGTCATGTTCATTTACACGATGATTGTACTTCTTTGCGCTACTCTTAAACCTTTTTATTCATGAACATTTTTATTGAATAAAATATAATCTATATGTATTATTTATTCTAAACATACGAACATAAAGACTATGTTTATCTGTGTTATATTTCATACTCAGATATTTTATACTTGTCAAATTATGAGTATTGCATTAAAAAAATAACATTTCTTAAGATATTATAATTTAATTATCTAATTATAGATTACAAACTCGAAAAATGTATTAATATGCACCAAAAATAAATAACAAGTAATTTAATAAATATTATATACATATATTATGAATAAATTTAAGTGTTAAAATATGTTTTGAAATCGAAAAATACTAAATAATAATAATACTTATTTATTTTTTAAGTATCTGCTACATGAATCGAATTATATAACTGGAATAGGTAATAATATTATGTTTTATCATTTACATTTTAATTAAGTTATTTTATGTACCAGGTACCTACTTAATGAAAAGATAAAATAAATATACAATTATACCTAATAGTTTTAATAAAACACAATACAACTTGAGTAATTAATATTTTAAACATTATCGACAGCCTATTGTTTTATTCGGAAAAATACCAACTTATTTTACAAATACGTAAATAAAAAATATGACAATAATGGTAAAATTTATAGTTATCATTTTGAGAATCAAGTCTTTTAATATTCAAATTTACAATTAAAATGATAATTTAAATAAATGTTGGGTTTATAATTTTGTAATTTTAAATATTTGTCTTTAACGTCTTTAAATCTAAAATACAGCTATAAGAACTAAATTCCAAGTTCATTGTTATGTAAAAACAGAATATCAGAAAATATAAATATTTTAAATAAGACAAACATTTTTATCTTAAAAAGTAGTATTTACAAACAAATTATTTAGTTTATAAACAATATAAACTTGAACTTCAAAATAGGAAATGTTTATATTGCACCATTTTTATTTTGAAGTTAAACACACCACACCGCATTATATTTTTAATCCAATTAGTATAATATATACTAAATAATACTAAATAGTAAGTATAAAACGCATTATTTATAAATAGCTTTAGATAGGATTATATTAAAAAAATAAAGGGAAAGTAGATAACTGCTAAGCTGTATGTAATTCTAGAGTGTACTTCATTGAGGAGTGATGGTCATTGTAATATTAATATTCACTGTATATTTGAATTTAAAGACAAATCATTGTATACCAAAAATGATTCTGAACGAAAATGGCCTATAAACCTATACTTCTAAGTATATTTTATGATTCATTTAAATTGTTACTTAAGTAATTTATTTTACTAATAGTATACTCGTACAGTAGGTCAAATTATATTTAGTCAAAATTTGTCAATTTGGCATGTGAAAATATTATTATGTACGTATAATGATATACGTTAACAGTTTAAGTACCCATAAATAATATCTATAAATTACAATAAAATAATTAAATTCGTTGCTTTTCATTTAAATGTTTAATTTTGTCTAAATTAGAATTTAAAAGGTCTATAAAAAAATTGTGTTCATGTATATATATAATATACTAGTTGTTTCTGTACTTTTTGTTGTCCGTAAAAAAATTAGTCCTCTCATATGAAACTTTTAAAAACTTATTTCATCATTAACTTACATTGTGGAAATTATTAGCCCACGACCCACTGTATCACATCAACCACCCACGCTATTACTTTGTTTTGCTTAGTGTTCTTTCTGGCTTTTTTTTTATTTTGTAAGGGTCTTATCTACCATCAAAATATGGTGTCTAAATATCAGAAAATATATTCATGCAAAAATCACATTGGAAAAAGCACTTTCAGATTTTTCCAATTTTTTTTATTTCCAAACAAATTTTTCTTTCCGTAAAAGCTTTATTTGGAATATTACGTATATAAAAAAATAGTAATAAATAAACGAGCTAATATATTTTCAATTTATACACTTAATAAAAAATAGCATTTAATTTTTATAAATTTCATTAAAATTTAAACTTCAGACGTTTATGAAAAAAAAAAAAATGCATGTCTATGTATTTTTAATATTAATTGTAAATATCTATAGTAATAATTTATGGAAACCTTGTATTAATTTGTAAAGTTTTTTGACGATTATTATTAATTAGCTAAAATAACTTAGGTTAACAATAACTTCGATTAAAATGTACTCGTATTATACTACAATTTATTGTATTCAGTGAACTATGCGTCTTCCTAAGTTCATTTTAAAACAACTGTTCAGTGAAAAGTTGGATGAAAATAATATTAAACGAACATATATATTATGTATATATAATAACTGCTTATATAGTTCACGATTGCATACATATTAATACTTTTTATCCCTAAATACGTCATGAAAGCAGACAAAAATTATTTTTAAAATGTCAAAGACACGCTGATTAAAAGTTTCCTACATTATAATTATTATTATTCTGTATAATAGATAAATATCAAATAAAATCTTAATTTTAAAAAGAAAATAAACATGATGGTAATAAACGACAGGGAAATAGTATCTATTTTCATTTTTTCCTATGCGACATACTTCATACGTTCTATCCGTGACAAATCATAAATAAATATTTTAAAAAAATTTATAGTTTCTATTTTGCAATATATTAATATTAAATATTATGCATTTTAACGACGACAGTAATATTAGATAGGTAGTAACTAATAAATAATGACAGTATTTTTACTCAGTGTAAAAAATGTTTGAACAACTGTGAAAACCATTACTATTTTTGTATAATGATAAATCATTTAAATATTTTCATTGAATAGGTAACCAACGGTTATAAATAATTTCTATAAACATTTAGTTCCATGTTTTAAATAAACTATATAATACATAATATAGACTTCATACGCTAAAAAATGATACCCTATGTAATACTTATAATGAATACGACTCATCCTAACCATTAGAATTACTACAATAAGTTGATTTCCGATGGAATATTATTATATGATACAATTAAAATAATACACCTACTTACATTATAATAGTTTAATTATATGAATACATGATACTATATATACTCTCGTGAGTGGTGAATAATTATAGAAGTTGGACGATCGTCTTAAAAAGGTGGACATTATAATATATTATTAAAAACGCACAAAGATAACTGTGTATATATAGGTAGAACATATCCATTACGCATGTTTTCTGAAACATCCGTCGTACCCGTAAAACTTTCAGTTTTAGACATATTTGGAGAGTATACAGCAAAGAATAAGAAATGAGGAGATTATAATGGTTTGCACGTACACCGAGGAGCAAGACAGCTACATGCCACGTACATTTAAGTATATAACACAGATAGTTAATTCGAGAAATGATTGAACGAATGTTCAAAGAAGAAGTTTTAAGCTTACATCTGGTACATTAT